TCTAAATCTTCTTCTGGGGTCTTGTTATCAGTTCAGCCAGCGTATGCCCGTCTTCTCGCTCCTCACGGTTCACTGCATGATCCAGTCTAGTCAACCACAGTCAGGAAGATCATTGGTGGTAATAAGCGGCAACCTTGTTTTATTCGTGTCTCCACTTCAAAGGCGTCACTGAGCTTTCCATTGTCAATCACATGGCATGTAGCATATTACTACCTAATTCTGCTTCGTCAATTCGTGATATAACGTGACCTTCACAAGTAACAGTTTAGAAATAGAACCTTGATGAAACCATCTTAAAGCATTTTACTGTAAAGTAATTAACTGTTACTCGATAGACGGTCTATTCCTAGAAAGCACAAAAAACCTAAGATGCCAATCCATGATTAACGTAACTCCCACAGTAACCATTACTAATTAATGTATAGTATACATTGAACAGAAGCATACTAGGTAATACAGCCATCTGTCTATGAGACGTCTAATGGAATTGCCTATTTACCCAAACTTCACTAAGCAGAAAACACAATGGCTAGAAAAACAACCTGATGTACACCAGAAAATCAAGAAATTTGAGGACTTGTCATTTATGTTAACGATTACATCCTCTTGGAATGACGATGAAGTTTTCAAAACCCAACCAACCAGTTGAAAAAAAATGTATTACCACAGAAATTATTCTCATTTTTAATCATTATACACCTTCCAATTTTATCAATGCCAATCTTATAATCAAGAAGTGTTTCTTCCCACCATGAGACTCCTCAGCAGTGAGCATCCATGACCCTCCCTCCCCACCCCCTTCAGTGAATAACTCCTATGAACAGCTTGGCATCCCTAAAGATCTGAACGGCTATCTTTCCATATACTGCAACTGACTCGGAAACTCCACATGTTTTGCGATATAATCAATTCGTTCAAGTATGCAACTCTCTTCAGAGGTGCGCTCCAATTAACCCGCCCTCCAGGGATCGAACCCGGGACCTTCAGGTTCCGTGGCCAGTAGGTTATCATTGCGCAACTGGGTTGGGACCCAATGTACCACATCTCTAACTTTTACCAGTTCACAATATAGTGCGATCTATACCCAATGTGGTCGTTGAGTAACTGTCCTCATGTTCGACTTGTTTGACTCCACTGGCCACAACTTCTCATTGGAACTTCGGTACTCATCTCTTCAAGCTAGTCACTAATGAACACTAGATTATTTCTATATGGAGGCTTGTGGAGATTTATTGATTAATTCTAAGTTGGAATTTATCATGGGCTGACATTAACCAAGTTGAACATAAGGACAGCTACTCAATGACGACATTGAATGAAAGTCGTGCTACATCATGAACTGACAGAAGTAGGAGATATAGAACACTGAATTCCGATCCAGTGGCTCAGTGGTAACGTGTTGGCCATGGAACCTGAAGGCCCTGGGTTCGATCCGTGACTGTGAGAATAAGAAGCTGGCCCTGGTGGAGTCAACCAAATCGAAAGTGATGACAGTTACACAACGACCACATTGGATGTAGGTCACGCTGCATCGTGAACTGACAAAAGTAAGAAATTTGGATCACTGGATTCCTACTCAGCGGCTCAATGGTGACGTGTTGGCTACAGAACCTGAAGGTCCTGTGTTCGACATCTGGAAGGATGAGGTCATAGGTGACCACCGTTGAGGAGTCTCATACTAGGACGAAACAGCTGACTATCCAATGTTCCGAGGTTTCCAATATTCCTCCAACTGATATCAGTTCATGATGAATTTTAAACCTAAAATTTCCAGTCTAATCTGATGGCGTATTATTAAACTAGCCTCAAGCTGCAGACAAGTTAAATTGACTAGCAACCAATCAGATTTCGCATTTTATGGACACGCCCTTCAACTTAGTCCAAGTAGCTTTGTTTGTTATTTGTTTTCTGTTGAAAATATATGACTCATTTCAAGTAAAATAATTATTCGATATATTTACTGGTCTTCAATAAATATCTCTCCTTTCATACCCAATTGTTGTTAACCCGAAAATATCACAGATTAAGTTTAAAGTTATACGATTATTGATGAAGCTATTTGAGATGGCTATTGTTCAGAAGATTCGTATCAAAGTATTTAAACTGAAGTGCCAGTACATCCTGCTGACGAGTTCCAAATAAGACGAAGTGCATCCTGGAGTCCTTTGCTAGTCATCAAATCCAGCATAACATCATAGGTGCCCATCTGCCAACAGAGGTCGAGCGACTCGACCCTGTATAGCAAAGAGGAAATTACAAAGATTATAACAAAAACTAATACGCATTGTACAAGAGGTGGCTATCGTATCCCAGTGGCTTGGCAAATAACACTCTGGCGTTTGAAGTGAAGGGTACTGGATTCGAGCCTCAGTGGAAACAACACTACTCACCCAGGTGCGGCTGAAAAGTCCCAAATAGGACGAAACATGCATCCTGGATTCCTCTGCTAGTCACCAAGTCCAATGCAATCAAACTTCCTTCTTATAATCCAACACTTCATTCATTTATTTTATAGCCAATAAAGTCTTCTATATATCTGCAACATGTGATAATGAGTTATTTCTGTTACATGTGTTATAAGCGGGTTGATTCAATCAACAAATATTCTCCGATCAATCTCTCCCTCCACCTAGCTTTATTGGAATTTAGAAGTGTCACTCTCTTCCGTCGACCCCATGTAGTGTGAAGACTAAGTGACAGTGTTTCAAGTAACTTAGGAAAAAAGGATTTTCTCTTGATCTTAGTAACTAGGAGAGGAATCCAAGACTCGTCAGTGGGATGTACCTGCACCCCAGTGGACCGCATTGTAAATCCAGTTGATGAGCCAAAAGTAGGACGAAACGTTCATCCTGGATTTCTCTGCTAGTCACCAAGATCAATATAACATCATGAATATCCAGCAGAATCGAGGCCTACGCATAGGAGCCCATCTGCCAACAGCAGTTGAGCAATTCGGCCCAGTATTATTATTATTATTTGTGCCTTGAGTTCCTAGTGGAACATAGGGCTTCACTAACATGTCTCCATCGCACTCTGTTCTCTGCAATCTTTTGAACCTGGCTCCACGACTCCACATAACCTCTCATTTCCTCCTCGCACGATCTCCTCCATGTCACCCTCACCTCGGACGCCCAAATCGTCGTTTCCCATCTGGGTTCCACTCGACGGCCTGGCCTGGGGTGTGATGTCCCCAGTCGGCTTTCTCAGTGTATGCCCAATCCATCTCCACTCTCTTCCTCTGCATATTTGTTGAGCGATAACTTCTCGGTTGGTTCGTTCCCACAGCTCCTTGTTGCTTATTCTCTCTGGCCTACTAACCTGATCTTCAGTAACGAGCCAGCGTAGGCAGTTGTTGATGAATATCTGTAGTTTGTTGGAAATGCCTTTCGTAACGCGCCAAGTCTCTCAACCATACAGAAGCACTGACTTGAAGTTGGTGTTGAAAATCCGTATCTTGTTCCACATGCTGAGTGCAGAAGATCTCCACACTGGTTTCAGGCTAATGAAAGCCTGTCTTGCTTTTTCGATTCTGACTTTGACATCCTAATCTATGCCGCCTGTAGTTGAAACAGTCCTGCCTAGATGGGTGAAGGAGGTTACTTCCTTTAAGTTTCTCCCGTTGATGGTGATTGGTGTTTGTTATTGTTGTTGGCTGGGTATCTTCATCACCTCTGTTTTCTCTATATTCACTTGAAGTCCAGTAATTCGGCCCAGTATAGCAACGAGAAATTACAAGTATCATTATAAGGATTTTCTCTGTGAAAGACAGATCAATCTGTTTGATGAATTAAAGTGAAGCATATCTCACTAGGCTCAACCATTGTATGTCTCACTAAATTTTTATGCTCTGCCATTTTGTCTGACTCAGATCGATTACTTTGAACACCTTCATAATTGGCTTCAAAATCATTAAATTCTAGGTAAAATTTCCAATTTACCTTATTCATATGGCAACACTACATGGAAGATTTGAATTCCCTCTCGGCCATGTTATGATCACCACTAACATTACCATTCTTATCAGTTCTTATAAAGGTTTTAATAAATTTTGTATTTAGGCATTCCTGACTTACTAGTCAAATTCCCAGCTCGATTACTTGGACATTTTAGAAAGCCTACTTTGACAGATATAAGGTGAAATGATGCAAAATCCATATGTCTATTCAAATACATTTGGTTACCATCTTCTCTCATTTTGTAATTTCAACATAAGGGTAATTCTCCTTCTTCATTTTTCAGCACAGTAAATGTGTCATCAGCACACTGCTACCACATAGTGTTAGGATTGAATTGAAATTACTCTAGCATTATCTTTTCCTACGATTATGGTTATTTGACATCGTGTGAGGAAGAAATGAGAGATTCAGGGCAGTCGTGAAGCCAGATTCAAAAGTTTGCCGAAAACAGTGAAATGCAGATGTGCTACTGAAGGCCTATGCTCCACTAGGAATCCAAAGGACAAATAATATAATGGTAATTAGAGATCCTATCGCTATTCCTTCTATTCGTTTATACACATTTTGCCTTGTAATTTAAAAATTGTGGAAGCTAAACATAATCTTATCTTTAGCATAATTTCTTCAATAGGAATATAACTTCTATTACTGAGTTTATGGTCAATTTTGAGTTTATCTCTGACTGCCTCAAGTACCACATAAATATTAGTATATTTGTATAGAGGCTTGTCATGTCAAAACTGAACATCTTTTCCTCGTCATCTAATTGTATATTGTATAGTCTGTGTTTCAATTCTGAAATAATGGAGAATATCTTTAGGTCAGGTGGATGATCTTTGTTGTAGTGTGTTCTCTGAGCTGGGTTGGTTATTCGTGAAGCTTTCATTGTCCTTCTAGACGACATCATCAGCACTAACTTCAGTGTGGAGTGATTTAGCTGCTTGCCTTGATGAACTGCTTTGTGACTGGTTGTTTCCTTTGATTGTTGTGTCATTAACTGCATAGACTTTTCTGTTAGCTGTTCCCCTGCTTCACCTCTCACCTTTCTGTCGTTTATCATTTTTCTCACTCCTTGATAGATTGGGTCTATGTCTATACATCTATTGATTGCTCACTGACTGACTGACTGACCGACGTGAATGCCAAGCTCCTAGGAATTCTCTCATATTCTTTGTCTTTCCTCTCTCCCTCCAAGATTTCTACAATGTCAAAATTCAATTCATCTCCATAGTTTTTATCCACATGCATTGAAATAAGCAGTGATGACATGTCGTGACGTTTAGTAGTTAATTGATGTTCATGTAGATGAAGGTGAAGAGGGCGGCCGCTATGTTCAATGTAGTGTTTACTACAGTTATTCCAGTTGATTTTGTAAACGATATTCGGTTTGTCTGTCTTGTTTGGTTGTTGCATCCTTTGGTCAGCACAGTTGGGTTTGGAGGGAATTAGTTGGTTTATGAGCCAGCCACACCAATTTCAAGTGGTTTCAGTCATGATTTCTTATATGGCATAGTAATGTATTTAAATATTTAAGTAACTCACTTATTGGTATGTTTAGAAAGTCAACTATTGGCCTAACAGGATGACGTGTTTTATGAATCCTAATAGTACCATACATTCTACTAGGATTATTAGTTTTAAGCATTAAATTCAACCACTGAAACTCACTCAGAGATGATTTCATTCGGTGTATTATCTTATGCATAACTTTGCCTTCTGGATCTTTGATTTCCTCATACAGTCCCCTTTTTTCAAGTAATCCACCTTATCCATAACTACTGTCCAGTTGCCTTTGTCAGATTTGGTCTCATTAAGTTCTTCTTTCCTTATTTATTCAGCCTTATCCTATTTACTTCTATAGTTGCGTATAACATTCTCAGGTTTAAGTTGATCTACTGTTATACTGAAGTTTAATCCTTTCTTGAGAACTTTTACTCCAGTCAAGTTTAATTCCATATAGATGAGAGCTTGAACACCCCCATTCTGTTCCATGGATCATTAGTTTTTCCATTACATTAATCTTAATACCTGTTGCCAACCGGCTTTTCATTTCACTTTCAATCATGACATGGTATTGAGATTATTTGAATTTTAGTAAATAACTAAGCGCAAATTCAGTTGAATGAGTATCAATTGTGGCGTTTAAGACAGTATACCTTAAATAACAGGCATGATAGTGAATAAATTTCTGCCAATGAAACGACTCTAGAAGATATGGAATTCACCCATGATAATTTATGTCTAATGTCTAACAACGCACAAACTCGAAGATCCATAGGCGGAAAATAAATAGTTGACGGAAGAGAGGCGGGGTGGGGTGGGGAAACAAAGGAAGACGGGACTTCCTTCCGATGAAGGTAGACAAGACAGAGGTAGAGGTGATGAAGACACCTAGGCAACAACAACAATAAACACCAATCACCATGAACGAGAGAAATCTGAAAGAAGTAGTCTCTTACAATTACATACGTAGGCAGACAGCATCGTTTCAACTACAGGCGGCATAGGTACACATGAGCATATGAAGGCTAGCCAGCCAACATCGGAAAGACAGCAAGACAGGCCTTCCTCCATTAATCTGAAACAATCAGTGTGAAGATCTACCTCAATGCAATGCAATGCACTGCACTGCACTGCACTCAGCATAAAGTGTGAACAACATCCGGATATTTAACAGTAAGGTGGTCAGTGAAGTAAGTCAGTGCTTCTATGTGATGCTTGACAGACTTCACACCTTACCAACTACACACATTCATCAACATCTGTCGTCTACGTTCGGTACTGAAGATCAGATGAGAAGGCCAGAAAGAATAAGCAACAAGGAACTCTTGTTCGCCCTGCAACGAACCAACCAACGAAGAATCTATCACCCAACAAATATGTAGAATAGGTAAGTGGAGATGGATTGGGTTGGATTGGATTGGACATAGACTGAGAAGACCGACTGGGAACATCATGCATCAGGCCAGGCTAGGGTGTCGAGTGGAATCCAAAGAGGAAACAATAAGTTGGGTATCCGAGGCGAGCGTGACATGGAGGAGATGGTGTGAGGAGGAAATGAAAGCTTGTGGGTAGTGGTGGTGGCGGATTGGAAAGATTCCAGAGGAGAGAGTGAAATGTCTACGTGCTAGTGAAGCCCTATTTTCCACTAGGAACTCAAGGGACAAATGATAATAATAATCTGTTAGTTGCCTTCCATTTCCTTTTCTCTTTTTTCTACATTTAGTTAAGTCGTTCAGTATAAAAGCAAGGCGGCATTATATTGATTTGTGTATTACGTGACTGAGACACGTTACACGAACATCATATGTTGTACACTAGTAAACATAAATAAGTATCAATCCCTTTACATCAAGTAGTAATGATAATCATAATATAAATAATTATGTTAAACAATAGAATTCTCAGCACTTACCCGAAATGTACAAGAACTGATGTAATCATATCGGCTAGTTGATCCATATCCGGATAACGAGATCTGAGACAGGTGACAAAAACAAACAAACAAAGGGAACATAAAATTAAATCAGTTGTACACAGGTGGAATATGATAAATAACACTTATGTGGTATACCTTATACATAATGATTGCGCTATGTTCTCTAAATTGAATACTTTTAATCATGTTCTTAATGTACGAATAGTAAGGCTGGTTCGTCTGTTGATTTCTGATGATTAAAGTAGTCGGTGATGATGCATAGGATAGGCATCTTTTAATAACGTTTCACAGGTAACCGTTCTTCATTACAATAGACATTTTTTTCATGAAGTTATCGTACTGTAATGGATTGTTGCTGTCTTTAACAAAGTCTATGCGTAACTAGAAATGAATTACAACAGAAGAGATAGCCTAAAAATCACAATTCTTCCCTAATATACATGTAAAACCTGGGAACCATGGTACAATTTTATCTCATAATAGACTTATTTAATGGATTTATAACACACATTGAATGATACAGTATTCTGTATTGGATGATAAAGTGTCGAGGATAAATTATCATTGCTCATTATTCATGTCAACATGATCTCTCCCCTCTGTCTCTCTACTTAATTACATTGGTTTTATCCTACCCTATTGTGTGATTGTGTGTTAATACCTAAGTGTCTTTCTAGATTACTGCAATTCTACATTTAGATAAATTTCCATCTCCCGCTATTCTAAACTGACCCCGACCGGCTATTTTGACCTATGTACTTGACTTGACTCACAGTCATTAAGTACCAAGTAGAAAATCAACAAGGAGAATTACCTATGTTGGATTACAGGGTAAAACGAAGGACAGGCGGTGGTCTGGATACTGCCTTCTACAGAAATCCAACACATTCCAACAGATATCTAGACTTTAAGTCATCCCAACCAATATCAGTTAAGGTAGGCTTAGTCAAATGTCTAGAAAACTAACTAGTCAGTGCAAGGACCTAAACAAGGAATTGAAACACATAAAAGAAGCATAAATAGTTCATAATTATCCTCTACAATTTATTAAGAAGTTCATACTAACACATGAGAAACGAAAAGATAACAGTAACACGAGTACGAATAATAACAACAACACAAGTAGAAAGGAGATCACAGCCCCTATTGTGTTACGCAATAAGGAAGGTACATCAGAAACTTTACGTACAATTCTCAATAAAGCTGGAATTAGGGCGACATTTAATAAACCTACAAACTGACTCAGAGATGATCTTTATCGACTAGCTAAATGATCCGATAGAACCAATTGAGCAAAATAATCTAATCTATCAAATTCCATGTAATGACTGTGAATCAGGTCAAGTACATAGATGAAACTAGTCAGTCAGTGTCAGCTAGATTAGCAGAACATAGAAATTTACCTAAATATAGAATGATATACCCCAATAACATTAGTAATCTATTGATTGTCGTCGTTTTGAGGACTTCAGATAGTGGTTTTACACCTTCCAACAAGGCTTAGATCCGTGTTAAACGACTTCAAAGATCAGTACCATATCTTAGTCTGGTCACCTTTAACCTTTTCCAAGCTGATTTCTACTAATAAGTGGTAGTTTAATATGTTCAAAAGTTCACAGGCTGTAGACAACGCTATGGCATTTGATGCGAAACCTACTGAGTTCGAGTCTTAGTGGGAACAATATCAATCACTTCGGAGCAGGTGCACTCAACTGATGAGTCCCGAATTGGGCGAAACACACGTTCTGTATCCCATTGCTTGCCACCACCAAGCAAATCATATAGTTCATTGCTATCAGACAAATAACTGTTATAATGATAGTAATATTTGAGGGATTTCCCCTATCATAGTGAACTGATAGAAGTTTACTTCTTGTAGTGATGCGATAGCAAAGGCATTAGATATTACTGCTTGAAGTCAAAAATACAAAAACGCCACAAGTTCTACATATATGAGGAATGACAGCAGACTTTTCATAAAATTCTAGTAAACTTTCACTACCTCTATCCCCATATATATAATACTATTTATTACACTACTAATGATAATGTAGTTAAAGTGTAATGTAACATGCTTGTTTGATTATCTTATTGAATAAAAGTCTTAGCGTTTGACCTAATCAAACGCATTCAAAATCTGCAAAGCTCCATCTTAGTGGCATAATTTTGAGTGAATGGATAGTCTCTCAGATACCTGAATCTGCCTTACAGTATTACTGGTGGAGTTATGGGCTCCTTCGTCTAGGCATTTGGTCTTTGACTGATGGATAGTAACGTTTGAAGTCAGCTCCACTTACCCAGGTTTGGTAGGACAGGTAGTATCATCAGCCGTTACACAATAGGTGTGGTCAAATGCATACTGCATGGAATGTACAATGTGACTGAGTAGATTACTTCTTCGCTATTACGTACTATTATGGTGAGATATCCCACTTTTAAGTAGTTTCGGTTGTGATGCACCCCATATTAAAGTGAATTTGATATGTTGATTGGCCAATATGTGTTCGGCAGCTATCGAATGTTTCTTATTATCATTTGTCCCTTGAGTTCCTAGTGGAAAATAGGGCTTCACTAGCACGTAGACATTTCACTCTCTCCTCTGGAATCTTTCCAATCCGCCACCACCACTACCCACAAGCTTTCATTTCCTCCTCACACCATCTCCTCCATGTCACGCTCGCCTCGGATACCCAACTTATTGTTTCCTCTTTGGATTCCACTCGACACCCTAGCCTGGCCTGATGCATGATGTTCCCAGTCGGTCTTCTCAGTCTATGTCCAATCCAATCCAACCCAATCCATCTCCACTTACCTATTCTACATATTTGTTGGGTGATAGATTCTTCGTTGGTTGGTTCGTTGCAGGGCGAACAAGAGTTCCTTGTTGCTTATTCTTTCTGGCCTTCTCATCTGATCTTCAGTACCGAACGTAGACGACAGATGTTGATGAATGTGTGTAGTTGGTAAGGTGTGAAGTCTGTCAAGCATCACATAGAAGCACTGACTTACTTCACTGACCACCTTACTGTTAAATATCCGGATGTTGTTCACACTTTATGCTGAGTGCAGTGCAGTGCAGTGCATTGCATTGCATTGAGGTAGATCTTCACACTGATTGTTTCAGATTAATGGAGGAAGGCCTGTCTTGCTGTCTTTCCGATGTTGGCTGGCTAGCCTTCATATGCTCATGTGTACCTATGCCGCCTGTAGTTGAAACGATGCTGTCTGCCTACGTATGTAATTGTAAGAGACTACTTCTTTCAGATTTCTCTCGTTCATGGTGATTGGTGTTTAATGTTGTTGTTGCCTAGGTGTCTTCATCACCTCTACCTCTGTCTTGTCTACCTTCATCGGAAGGAAGTCCCGTCTTCCTTTGTTTCCCCACCCCACCCCGCCTCTCTTCCGTCAACTATTTATTTTCCGCCTATGGATCTTCGAGTTTGTGCGACATTAAACATCAATCATCATAGTTGGCGAAATCCAAATCTTTTCCTGTCGTATTTTCATCGGTCCACCCAGAGTATGCCTATCTTCTCACAGTTCTTCACGGTTTGCTGCATGATCTAGTCGACCATAATGAGGAAGATGATCGGTGATAGTAGGTGGTAACCTTGTCTTACTCCTGTCTTCACTTCACTTCAAAGGCGTCACTGAACTCAGCTTTCCATTGTGGATCCGTTGGCATATAACGTCGTCATATAGCATATAGCTGGTGTTGAATGAGGTTGATAAAGGTTTGTGGCACTCCGTAGAGTTGAAGCAGGTGCCTGTCAACTTACTTTTCGGTCGACGCTGTCGAATGCCTTTTCAAAATCGATGAAGTTGAGGTTGATTTGAGTGGTATTATATACTCTGTTCTATGATGATGAGTAGCGTAGAGTTGCAATCTGATCGGCATATCATTGGTTTCTCCTGAATCCAGCCAGTTCCGGTTGTAATTTTGAATTCCGAACATTTTTTTTAAGTATCTCTAGAATGTACATACTATTTGCATAAACCACGTCTAATGGTAGATTTTAATATTTAAATCAATACTCAGTGTAATTCCCTTTGAAAAGAAAACACAACAACAATCGTATTGGTCCGCATAAGTCTTGTGTTGTTCGTTCAAGGTCAAATTTGCCTTCAATGTCAAGTGCATCAAAGCTATTGGCTGAATAAATAATGAGTCGATTTGAAAGCACCAATCATTTTACAAGGTTATTTACGAAATAAAATAAAAAAACAAGTCAACAGAAACGGTTAAATAAATTGGTTCTAAACAAGATTAAAAATTCACCCATCAAAACATAAAATAAACTGAAATGAAGATGGAAATGAATAGTGGAATAAAAATGCCCTGCCACGCCAACAATGTGTACAAGTATGTAATTCTGAAAATGAAACTAATGAATTTCAAGTTACCACCGCGAGCCTAATAACCTTAGAAATAACCGAAATCAGGTCAATGAAACTTGCTTCGTTGATTGCGCTACCATTAGCCATGACAGCATGAAATAAAATGAGATATCAGAGAAGGCAACTGTAATGTTGACGGATAAAGGAGAAAGTAGAAGTCTACCTCTACCAAAAAAGCTTAGTGTTTGGTTAAATATGTCTACTGTATGCTATCCTTTTACTGATAACCACTTGTTAAAACGAAAAATCGATAAGTGAAAATCAGTTTTTTGGCGGAAATCGCCTCTAATATCTTATTCAAGTGTTCTACGACACAGTCACAATCCAGTACTAAGTTCCCTTATACACTTATTGACTCAGATTGCCACACACACACACACATACACACACACACACCTTGCCCTAGCACAAGAAACTAAAACACATGAACATTCAAGTATTCGAGACAGTAGAACTTAGAAGAGATGAAAGACATATAAGGCAGATCTTATACGATATCTTCCAGGATCTACTAGTGTACTATTTTGTATCTGAGTTTTGATTCATGCTGTTCAAAGTTTCGAATCAATGACTGCTAGCGTCATCATGAAAATGAGAGCGAGAAAAACCCTACAATGACCTACATAGTCAATAATAATGGTCAGTGATTTAACACATAATCGATATGCTTTGCCCAAATCACTATTTTGAAGTTTCTTTTTCTATCATCTACCAAATATTATCCAGTCTAACAATCGATGTTGCGTAGAATTTTTTGACCATACACACAAATATGAAGAATACAAAACTTGTCGATCAGTGAAACGTAATCACACTTCATAATATTACGGAATAAAGTTAAATAATCAGTAGTAGAAATAAACGCAAACCTAGGAGATGAAGAGAAAGGAGGAAATATCTTTTAAAACAATCCAATGATGATTCTCGATTATTATAGGTGGCACAGATGATGATATCGAAGCCAGCTAGGACCGAAAAAAACAACAACACAGGCCTTCCTGAATTAATTTGAAATAATCAATGTGGAGATCTACCTCAATGCAATGCACGCACTGCACTGCACTCAGCATAAAGCGTGAACAACATCCGGATATTTAACAGTAAGTTGGTAAGTCAAGTAAGTCAGTGCTTCAATGTGATGCTTGAGAGCCTTTGCGCCTTACGGAAAGCATTTCCAACAAACTACAGGCATACATCACATCAACAGCTGCCTACACTCGATACTGAAGATCAGATCAAATAGCCCTGCAACGAACTAACCAACCAATAACCTATCACCAAACAAATATGCAGAAGACAGTGGAAATGGATTGGATTAAATATAGACTGAGAAGATGGTTTTGGGAATCACACGTCAGGCTAGGACCTCGAGTGGAAGGAAAATGCGAAACGACAAGTTGGGCGTCCGAAGCGCAGGTGAAATGCAGGAGATCGTAAGAGGAAGAAACGAAAGCTTATGAGCAGTCTTGGTGACAGGTTGAAAAGACTGCAGAGGTGCTAGTTTAGCAGTACGTTCCACTAGGAACCTCAAGGAACAAATGAATAATAAATAAATAAGAAGAAAAGAAAAGAAGGAAGGGTATGCATGCATCTGCACTGCTTCAAACAACCGGTACAAAACGCATCTATATCTCAACACCAAGAAATGTGTCTATGGTTTAAATGAAGTCACAGATTTTATGA